TATTATAAATTTTAAGCTGGGCTTGAAAGCAGGGTCATGAAAATAATATATGAATGCGATTTGTATTACAACATGTTTAAAATTTCACATCGCAAAATAATGTCACAACATAAATGATATGAAATAAATGATTTAGAAAATACAACAATACTGTTTCAATTATAAAGGATCAATAACCGCACAGTTCTGAATTAAAAGTTTGCTCTCCCAAGATAAAACAAATGGTTGCAAGAGGTAATTTTCAATAAAAGTATTTGTCCATTTCCCATTATTCAATTCAATATTGGCATTATAAAACAATTGTTATTTAATATTCATGTTTTGTTTGCAGATCAAACCTTTTTTATGTTATGTTTTTTTTAATCAGTGCAAAGAAATAGTAGTCTTTAACTGCCTGTTAATACCGTACTTAAAGAAAATCAAACATGTTAAAGAAATGAGATGCTGTATGGTTTTCTCGGTGACATGAGTTTCCTCTGATTTTCCGCCCGTCATGTGGGGTCATGGCATTTGCTTTACAGAACATTTGACTCGATTTTGTTTGTGTAAAATCTTAATGATGCCGAATAAAAACACTTAAACATGGATTGCAGTCCATGTCCAATATTTATATATATGAAATCTTCATGGTCGCTTATTACTACACAGCCAAATGATTCATATAAATATTATAAACATGCTCTTATCTATAAATAAATTAGATGAACATTAAAACCACATAGCAAAAGCATAGCATCATTCTTATTATGTCTAAAATAAAAAAAATAAAAACACCCCCCCCCCCCAGAAAAAAAAGAAAAAAAGAAAAAAGATAAAACAACAAGAAAAACAACAAAACAAAAAACAGAACAAAAAACAAACAAACAAGAAAAAAAGAACAACAACAACAACAAAAAAAAATCAAACATCAAACAAACAAAACGAAACAAAACAGAACCTGTAGGATCCTCATTTTCGTATAGTATTATGATATTACAATTTGTTTACAATTTTTGTAAATCCTTTTTCTCGTTTACTTCCAAAGGTAATGTGTTATATTATATCATATAGTATATACATTCCACCTTTAAGGTGCATAAACTTCTCCACGCTGAGTATCAAATTTACGAATACTCTTTAACGCTGTAAAGAATTCAACGTTATTAAAGAACTCGACACCATCAAATACCGAAGATTGTATCTTTCATCATCAGATATTGTATCATAGTATCTTACAAAAAGTCATGCACTATGAAGATTTAAGTTAAAAGATATATAAAAGCGGTATCTATTAACAATTTTTATTTGACTTAACTTTATTTGATTGCCTGTGTTTAAAATGATTTGAATAAATGTGTATAATATACGCTAGTGGTAAAGATAATCTGATGATATTCATTATTATGTAGTTATCAAAATTAAGTAAAATTCGTTCTATTATTTGTTGTTTATTTTACTTGTCAGGATCCTTTTGATAAACAGTCTGAAATATTCGTAAATTACGGTTAGAATTCAGAGATGTCAAATGTTTGAGACAAAACTTATTCTGGTACTGGCCATAAAATGAATAAGATTGAAACAGCACCGTTTTCACATGAACATGATTATAACAGCATACTTTTAACATCGATATGCTTGTAACTGCACAATTTTAACAAGAACATGATTGTAACAGCACAATCTTAACAAGAACATGATTGTAACAGCACAATTTTAACAAGAACATGATTGTTACAGCACAATCTTAACAAGAACATGATTGTAACAGCACAATTTTAACAAGAACATGATTGCAACAGCACATTCTTTACATGGATATGATTGTAACAGCACAATCTTTAATTGGATATGATTGTTACAGCACACTCTTTACATGGATATGACTATAACAGCACAATCGTTGCATGGATATGATTGTAACGGCACAATCTTTAATTGGATATGATTGTTACAGCACACTCTTTACATGGATATGACTATAACAGCACAATCTTTACATGGATATGAATGTAACAGAACAATCTTTACATGAATAAAATTTTAACAGCACAATCTTTAGATAGATATGCTTGTAACAGCACAATTTTTACATGGATATGATTTGACAGCACAATCTTTATATTGATATGATTTTAACAGCACAATCTTAATATTGATATGATAATTGTAACAGCACCATCTTAATTTTGATATGATATTTGTAACAGCACAATCTTTACATGGATATGATTGTAAAAACACCTTTTTCACAAGGTTTTATTTAATCTTTATTGAAATTATATTAACACTTAGGAATTCGTTCGTGGCTGGATCAGTTTTTTTTTATATACATTGAAGTATACACGTATCTAAATAAGAATTGTATTTGTCAGGTTGTCGCTGCATCATTAAACTTAACTTCAAATATGAAGTATATTCCCTTTCAGATGGCATCAATGAAATAAAAGTATGTCGACGATTGAATTGTTAATAACTGATTTAGAGCATCCACATACTTTTATCATATAAATAGACTTGTAACAACTGTTTTTAATTTCCATATTTTCAAAAATGAAAAAAAAAAAAAAAAAAAAAAAAAAAAAAAAATAAAAATGGTTCTTAAATGTGCCTTCGATAAACAATGTAAATGCAATAATGTAACAGCGGCGAGTAATGACGTTGAAAAATGAAAATTCGTAAATCGAAAAATAAATGGATCAACGTTGTGTATCAGCAGTTTTCTAGTTATAATCACCTTTCAATAATAAATGTTGCCACAATTTTAGATTACCCGTAACGTCATTTGTGTGTAACAGAATACGTTTATTAACCTTTACAAAAGGCAAGCTGTCACAAAATATCACAGAACAATCTGCTCTTCAAACAGCAGCACTGTTCCTTATTTTATCTTCTATATATGTATGTAATATCTAAACATGCGTGTCATATTCGTTATCGCAATCATACCTTTATGTCACGAAAGCAGGATCAATTGTGATTTTTTTATTTCTATGTAACAACAGTTCTATCATTAAATGAGGCATTCATTTATCAGGGTAACGGAACATATTTCAGATAAATCTTACATATATTATCATTAAATAAATCAACAAAAATAGGTGTTTTTTTCACCGAATCAACCCTATTAAGGGCTTTCCAGCTTTACTTGTGTAAAACGACCTTAGGTACTTACCCATCCGTTATTGCTGGTACGAACTGGCACCTGGATAGAATCACTGACGTGCCGATCAGTGGTTGAATAGCCTCATCACATGTCAATGACGTGACCATAAAATTGTCTTATGAACAAACTTATGAATAAGCCTTGTTTCATTAGAAGATGTGGACACATGTGAAAGAAGCTAGGATCTTTTATTCATATATTTAGCATTTATTTACCCTTAGTTTTACCTAAGGCCTTAACTTAAAAGTTATTGCTTGGAGGTTTCTTTTATGTTCTGAGATGTCTTCACGGACATTCTTTCGGGAAAGATTGATATACTTCACTGACATGAAGGTCCAAGGATATAATGCAATACATAGTCCATATATTGCTCGAATGACCAAGTCATCAAACAGGGGTATGAAAGCAAGTTTCGTATATTTGGTTATGATTCTAACTTCCATTAATTGTATTATTATCCATTTCGTCACGGTTATATTGTAATTTAAACAGTATATTTGGCATTTATTTACCCTTAGTTTTACTTAAGACATTAACTTAAAAGTTATTGCTTGGAAGTTTCTTTTATGTTCTGACATGTCTTCAAGGACAGTTTTTCATGCGGAAATGTTAAAATACTTCGCTCCCATGAAGGTCCAAGGATATAATGCCATACATAGTCCATGTATTCAGCAAACAGGGGTATGAAAGTAAGTTTCGTATATTTGTTATGTTTCTAACTTCCATTAATAGTATTATTATCCATTTCATCACTGTTATGTTGTAATTTAAAACATGTGTTAGACATTATGAATTTACAGATTATCTTTAATTGCAAAATATCACGATACACCAAAAGGTACATTTTTTAAAGTAGATTTTTAAAAGTTAGGTTGAAGATAACTTATAGTAATTTTACAGTAAGATTATCAAATACAATGTTTATGTCCATGTGTACTTAAAAACCATGTGTTGTAATTAGCAATATTGAATATTCAACATTGACAGGCATAAACAGTGCAAAGTTTTAGTACATTGTAACATATCAACACACATTGTGCGTTTTTACGTAATCATGTTGAAGAATCATGCTCTGGGTGATACCTATTTACATATTCATTAAATGTGTTAAATGAAAGCATGAATTACGCATTCCCCATAGTGCTGATCACGGACAAAGTTTTTTGATTTATGCTAATTGCATGCGGTATCAGACTTTGTTTTATTGTGGGCTTGTTTTTTCTATGACAATTAAATATGCTTCATTATCAGTGCTAAATAATATCGTTCTGGGACAGTTAATTTTCAGCATTTTACTTCAAACGTTTTTATAGTGTTTTGTTACTTCTAGTAATCAAATATATTAGGCAAGAAAAAGAAGAAAAGTAAAGGAAATTTTCAAAAATGCGAAAAGGGCAATTGACAAAATAGAAGAAATATATTATATAAAGCCTTTCTTGTACTAGGAGACAGTTTGAGTCAGCAACGCATACCGTTGTATATTATACAAAAATGAATGGACTTTTTAGCTGGTTAATATGATGTGATATGTAATGGAAGAAATATTGACCTATGTTTTTGATAAATAAATAATATACTTGTAAGCAAATCATAAAAACGCATTTTTTATATAATATAGTACATTATTATACAATAATCTGAACTCATGGTAGCTTTAGCAAAATGTATTAATTTTGATTAACCTTCAAAATGACATACTGTAAATTTATTATTTTTGCTATTGATTTTCCCACAAGATGCCGATCATTCGAAGTGAAAATGAGTTACATTTAAATGGTTCGCTAAAAATAATGGCTACCTCAAAAACTTTTTGTTATTTAACTTTTAGATGGAAAAAATATTGATAACATAAGTGTCGTGGATGTAAATAACTTTATTAATGTAGTACAATAAGATACAGGAGTGACAGCTTGAATTAAAAAACAACAACAACATATTGGTGCCGTCTCGCCTTCAAAGCTTATGCATGCCATGTTGCTATGCTTACAAGTATTCAGAACCGATAATCTATTATATCAAGTCTAAGAAATAAAAATGTACTCTTATTCGAGTAAATGTACGGACAGAGAATAAAATGAAGGTTTAGTTACTATGCTAAATAATAGTAAGATCAGCTTCCAAAATTGTTGCATGGTGATCTGTCAACAATAGATTATGGAAAACCTTTGCTGACTGAAAAGGAAACTAATAGGGCAGGATGTAAAATACCTGTCAAGTCTCAAGGTCAAATAAGTGAAATGTTAAGTAAAGGGGTCAGGTCTGCCAAATCTGACACTAACACTTCACATGAATGTCTAACAGGTTCGTTCAATAATTAAAAGATAGTCATATCTGCTTGAACAAAAATAAAGATAGCTCACACACAAACCTTGATAAACCATCAACAAGCACCAAACAATCAGACAAAAAAACTGAGCGTAATATTGTAATACTCATTTTTCATAATGGCATGACAGATTATAGTTTTAACATTTGTTTTGATTTCGAGACATATTGCCCATTTATTCTCCGGAATGTAAACAAAAAAACACTGCCTGAAAATTGTGCATGTCATTGCAAAACTTCTATAGTCTCATCAGATTTGTTGATCACTATATAGCTACCATTCATTTATATTTAACTTAATATTTAGATACTGCTGATCAGAATATCGCACTTAATACTTTGTTAAATTTTGCTTTCCTTTTCAATTTACACATATCATTAAAATATATTTATTTGCTATAAAATGATTCAAAGATAATGTACAATCCAATCCGTTGTAAAACCATGACATATTTCTCCAATATATTTTTATCTGTACGCACGTAAATAAAAGAAAAAAAATATTTGTTTTAAATTCAGGTTTGTCTATTAGCATCGCATGTATGTCGCCCGTATTTGTGGAGAAACAATAAACACTTTAAAGTTGTTTGTGAATAATTCAATTGCACAGTAATTACAGTCTTACAGGATAACCTTGACCTCGTATATCATATATTGTCCCGTTTTGATCGGTGCTCTGCATGTTATTACTATGTAAGTATGTATCAGTTTGACATAACGAGAGCATTGTGTATTTAAATGTTCAAGTAAAAACGCATAAAATTCTCAAATGGATGCTGTAATTTACAGTTCAGAAACAATAAAAGAAAAATAGTTCAGTTATAAATCTATACCTTAAGGGCTTTAGCAAGATCTTTTTTCATCATGAATTTTGTTTGTTTTGCTTTACCGGATATCACTTTGATATTTTACATTTAAATATTTTTTAAATTAGTATATTTGTTCGTTGGAATCCTACCAACTTCAATCACGATCAAATATTTTAGCCTGAAGATCAGCGAATAAAATGCTGGATATTATCAGTGATGAAAACGGTTTCTTAAGTAGTTTACATTAACATATACTTTGGCATCAACTTGGCAGATATTAATAAAATCAACTAATTTAAAGTATCTTGTAAACATTGTTTCTTCTTTTTTAGTTACAATTTATCTTTTGGAATAAAAATAACCGACAGTTACAGGATGTAAAGCTATATCTCATTAATATTGTTCATTTGATATAAAAACGGTGAATAATCCAGTTTCCGATTTAAGTAAGTGTTATTATATAGAACGTTACTATTATGTAACAGACATGAAAATTGTACGTTATCAATATAAAATATGTAGTAGGATTATTACCGTTTAGCTATACTTTGCGCCTTTTCTACAGTTACTTTTCAAATATTCTGTTACGAAATTCAAACTGAAGGCAGCAAAGATAACATCTTACACTTTAATGTTTGTCCTTTGAAGATGCAACCATGCGATATAAAGTCCCCGCCCTTTAAAATAGCCCATACAATAATAATATAAAATAACTTTATACAACCATTGTGTTTAGCACAATTTTCATAAAATGACAACGAATGTAGTATTCTCTATATAGAGTCAGCAAACGTACAAAAAGAAGACAAAATTACAGTTAGACGAATCATTTTTATATAAGTGATATCAGGAAATAATGACTATGTTACATTGAGAGCAAACAAATTATTAGACTAAGCTTACATAAGACGATATCTTTGGTCACTTCGCTTAATACTGGCCATACATATGTATGTATTATTTTCTATTTTTTCTTCATTTTTCTCATTCTTCACAGTTTTCCATTATATATGTTTGTATCTTCTTAATTAAGTAATTACTGTGTACAATGGGATATCTAATTTGTTGAATTTTTAAGTTTTTAGTACACTTTAAGCAGGACTTACATGTAAAGCATGGAAAAATGTATGAATAAGCCATGAACTGTAATGCATATTAACTTATTGGCGTAATTGCCATTCACATGATACTGAAACAAAAAGAAACGAAATGAATTAATTATAACATTTTGTAAATAAAACACTCCCCTTACAATTACAATTACACATGATCAATAAGCACTCATTTCTGAACAAAGAGTAATGAAAGGTGATAGGATAAATCAAACTTAAACTCATGGTAACATGAGGTAAATTTCAATAAAACCTTTGTTCTTTTCAGTCGTTACGCTATTCAACATTGGTGGTAAAAATAATTGTCATATAATATTCATGATTTGTTTGCAGAACATTCCCTTTTTTGCTTTGCTTTTCGAAATCAATACATACAGAAAACAGTCTTTGAACTAGCTTCTGACACTAACGGTCATGTTTTTAAAAGTATCAAACGTTTTATAAGGTAGGACATATCAGTCAATCCTGAATCTGTAAAACAGGACCAACACTAAAAAATTCAGTCCAAAACTATTATTTGCCAAGTATTTAACAAGCACTGGCTTTTTGTAGATTGTTCAGTTAGAATACCCAACACGCTGAAATTGAAATATGTTAATATTCATATAAACGTGCATTAAAAATGTCATTTTGGAAAAAATGTTATTATAGACGTTCTCATTATTTCATTTATTAACCAAACAATATGCACATTGCATTTGCGTTATAATCGCATGAACGTCTCTCCTTCAGAACTTACGGTGCTCACAGATTGTGTATGAAAGTTCCGCGTATTATGCATTGATTCTGAGATAGTTCTTCTCCGCTTGCAGAAAAGGTTCTTCAAATCTCTACGAAACTTTGATCCACAAAAGATATATAGCACAAAATTAATTGCACTGTTTGTATGCAACAACATCAGAAATATTGTCCCAGTAAGCATCAAGTTTGCAATGCGTTCTGGTGTTATTGTTTCCACTGGAAACCAATATGGCTGTCCTATTGCGAAGATGGAAAAGGGAGAGACCAAGGAGGAGAATGTTATGTTTAAAACGACTGCTGTACTTGTGAAATGAGACGCCGTACGGTTTTCACGGCGATATAAGTGGCCTCTAAGTTCCTGTCCGCTATGCGTAGTCACTGTACTTGCTTTTCGGAAATTTTGACTCGATTGTAATGTGTGTATAACCATTACGTTGCCACAAAGAAGCACACTAAATGGAACAGCGAATGCAAGAACAAAGTCAATCCAAGTCCAGTATTTAAACATGAAATCTTCATGCTTGCTAATCACCATGCAGTCAAGTGATTGATATAAATCATTATATACATGTTCATATCCATAAATAAGATGAGCATTCAAACCAGCTATAACTAAGACAAGGACGAGTAGGCTCAGAATAACCTTCCTTCTTGTAAAAACATCCCTCACTCTATGCGGATATCTCACACTGAACACCCGCTCGACTGTTACAAGCACAAGAATCCACGGCGACAGTTGAAACAGAAAATATGACATGAAAACATGAAATTTGCACGCACCATTTGAAGAAGTCCTTAAATTTATCTCAAACATATGACTGAGCCATTTCACCAGTACGGAATTCATGAGAATCAATGTGTCGGTAACTGTGAGGAATATCAACATAAAACCTGTCGAAGTTTTTCTAGTACTTGCCTGTGCCAAAACGATCACAGATAAAATGTTTCCTGTAAGTCCAATGCTTAATAATATCGGTGGGTATATTGTCAGTATTTTATCAATAATTTCAAACTTTAAATCCTCCGACATAATTGCCAAAAAGCAAAACAAAATTGTTAACATTAAACAGCAAATTATTACCACATAATAATAAATACGCGGCTGATAAACTGAAGAAAATTATGAACGTTTTTGATAGCACACACGATACAAGTTATTGTAATAAATATTAATTAAAATATTAACGCCAAATAATTTTCATTGCACTTATCCTGTTTGTACAACTTTATCATTTACAGCCAACAAATAGACCTGTACGATGTGCAATTTTGTAAACATCTATCACAAGAAGATCGCAAGTTGTTTATCAATTTTGTAAATCCTTGTTATTAAGCTTGCAGTGTGTTATATTAAAATGTACAACATCTAGGATACACGGATAGTTTTTATCTCTGCTCTCAGTCCCTTTTATACTCGCTGTATCGAATTTACGATTGCTTACAAATGGCTTTTTTATTCAGCGCTATTCAACAGTACGACACTTTAAAACTTCGTATAATAATAACTAACGCAAACCTATTTATTTTGAAATTTTGAATATACGCTTATTTATATCTAGAGAAAACTTAAAAAAGTGAAAAGCCTAGTATGCTTTAAAAATAACCAAATGTGTTAAGTATTTGAGAAATAGTGACAGCAATGAGGGTCTCACTGTATTAAATTAGTCAGCTCACAAACATCTAACAGGCAGAAAATGGAAAGACTCACAACACATTTCTAGAATGTGATGGTAAATGTTCAACGCTCAGGCCCTAATTTGTTTTTATCTGATCGCTGACGTCTTCGCAGATATTTAATTATCCTGATATCAACTAATACTAATATAAATAGAGAAGGAAGGCTTTTATTTTAGTTAATCATTGGATAAGCATAATTGATTAATTATCACAATCAAGTAAAATGTATTCAATTTTATTGTTGTTTATCATACTTGTTTGGGTTCTTCAATTATACAGTCTGAAACATTTGTTATGTAATATCAAATGATTTGGATAAAACGTTTTTTTCTCGCATTGTAGATAAAATAACCATTATTGTAACAAAACCTTTCCGACTGATTGTGATGTAATTTTATTGCAAATTTTAGCAATCTGCCTGTAATATTTCGTGTCCTCCTCTCTTGAATATCAATTCATGAAATAAACTATTATATTCATTTCGTCAGTAAATTATTAATTTAAGTATAAAACAGGTCTTTCAAGATATGAGTGTAGAATGTTTAAGAAGATTTTAGGTTTACAAACATTTCGTTGATTGTGTGAACGTGATTATTTGTAAATATAACAATTTGTTGAATAGTACAGTCTCATTTTTTATCGATCATGTTAAACATTATATTCTGAGTAGGAAGTTTGCTACTTATTCAGTTGATAAAATAAAATATGTACGTATTCAGGACGAGCTAAATAACCTCAGCTCCCCCAAAACATCAAAATGTCATTTTAGTTAGTTCCGTCCATTGTTTTCTCGTTTATTTGGTGATTCCAGGAATTACCCTACAGTGTTACATTGAAGGTTTCAGTACCGTATATGAACAGGCCCAATCAAACCGATTCTGCAACATTTTCAATTTTGCTGTGTTGGGCTTTGGTTTAAACAGTATTTATTTCATATAATACAAACATATGCAATTATGAGACAACAATATTGTATTATTAAACAGTATTAAAAAGGAAGTCAAAGACTTATGTAGAATTTTTTCCTGTAAATTGTAAAAAATAAAGCAAATCATAATGTAACAACATGTACTTGGGTTTTCTTTAGGGATTCTGGCCGATTTGGCTTTCTTTAGGGATTCTGGCCGGTGAAACAGAGCCTGCAACATTTTCAATTTTGCTGTGTTGGGCTTTCTTTTTTAGGGATTCTGGCCAATCAAACCGAGCCTGCAACATTTTAAATTTTGATATGTTGCGCTGTCTTTGGGGATTCTGTTTTTCTCTATTTTGTATGCATATCTAAAATACATCCACACAAAGATACAACGGAAACATTTCAATCGCCATTTCTTCAAAGATCTTGTTGAACATTATACTTATCTTCTGTTAAATTGAATTTTCTTATTGACTTTTTAACCCTACAGTAAGGATTTTAAATGTGCATGTATTAACTAAGTGCTCTGTTTATTTAATTTAATATATATCTTATAAAGAAATGGCAATGCACAATTATGGTTGCCGCTGCATCACTTAACAAAATGAAATATAATTCAGATGCAATCAGTGCATTTTATAGATGAGTAATGAAAAATGATTTTTTTGAAGAATACATTGACTGATTTAGAACATTGACGATATAAACAGCACCAGTATTTCCAAAAATGCTTGAATTGGCCCCCTCAGTGGTATAAAACGTAAAAGGTTTCATTTAACTCTCTTTATCCCCCATCCCTCTCCAAGGATGTTTAAGTATTGTATACAGCGTTTTCATAAATATGGTTGCATGTATTAGTGAAAAATGTAATGTTACAATATCTAAATGTTTGCATATTGATCAGACAGAATATGAAATATATCTCTAGAAAATGCAAGCTGTGACAAAATGTTTTATTATTTAGTAATAAAATTTGTAAGATATCACACCCTATCAAACCATACCTATGTTTACCATTTGTATACTCGGTCTATTAACAAACGTGTCGTTTGCAAGATCTATATCAATACAACTAATATGTAAGGATATATGATTTGCTATAAATAAAAAACCAAATTCGGCATAAGATACTACATAAACGACATATCATAATTTATTATACTTGATTATTGGTCTTATTCTCACATTCGGTAGGCGTCAACACGAGTTGATATTTGATAAAATTTCTAGTTCATTTTGAAGATATTGTTTTCATCTTTAGAAAACAATAAATAATCAATCAAAGCAGCATGACATTAATGTTTTATCAACCTTTCCCCCACGAGCATATTGCAAAAAATGGCCATTTTCATTGAAAAGCCTCCTGTTACAAATTCAAACAGCTATGCAACTATGAAAACTGCTTCCATACTGATGAAACTTGGCACAATTGTTGACCAGACCAAAGTCTCTGTAAAAGCATGCTCAATCGTAAATTTCCTTTTACCGTGGCAACGGGGGCTATCTCAAAATTGCCAAAAAACACTATCTTGCATTGTTTTTTCCATCAACACTGATTTCAAAGTGCTGCAACTTCTCAATGAATTGAGATGGAGTAAAAGGCTTTACTAGTTACCTTTAAAATCGACCTGAGGTCATTTTAAGCCTGTCATATATCCAAAATTTTCTTGGCGATAGGGGGACTGCCGCCCCTTAAACCCCCCCCCATATCAGTAGGGACACCACTCCCTTCTGGCCACCTGATTTAACATTTGGATGGGGGACGGCGCCGAAACATTTCTCAAACGAAGAACAGTTTTTGGGGCCTAAATATGGCATTTTTCACTGTTTGATGCCTCTAAAGGGGGGGGGGGGGGTGGGGAACGCAAAAAGCCGTCAAAACACGCTTATGTGAGGGAAAAGGTTAACAAAAATGATGAGAAACCTTGAAATTACCCAAAAACTATTTTTTCCATGTCAACACGTTCCCTTACACCTAATTTTGGTGAAAATTGTTGTTTTTTGACATTTTTTTATTTTTTTAATTAACCTTTTACCCAATGAGCATATTGCGAAAAATGGCCGTTTTCATTGAAAAGCCTCCTGTAACAAGTTCAAACTGCTATGAAACTATGAAAAATGCTTCAATACTGATGAAACTTGGCACAAATGTTGACTAGACCATACCCACTGTAACAGCATGCTCAATCGTAAATTTTCTGTTACATGTTCCATGGCAACGATAGACGTCTCAAATTTGCCAAAAATCACTATTTTGCATTGTCTTTTTCCCATTAAAACTTATGATAAAGTGCTGCAACTTCTCTCAATTCCAGTAAAAGACTTTTCAGCATTGGTTACTAGTTACCCTAACATCGACTTGAGGCCAATTTAGCCTGTCACATGTCGAAAATTTATTGGCGATAAGAGGGACTGCCGCCCCCTTCAAACCCCGAACAGAAGGGAGCACAATCCCCTTCTGGCCATCCCTTGATGTAACATTTGGATTGGGGACGGCGCCGAAAAAGTGGTCACTGTTTTAATAACATTTCTCAAACGAAGAACAGTGTTTGGGGCCTAAATAGAGCATTTTTTTCACTGTTTGATGCCTCAAAAAATGGGAGGGGGCAAAAGTCTTTAAAACACGCTAATTTGAGGGAGAAGGTTAATGAATGTTTTATATTCATGCCTGGATATAAGGCCCCTTTTACCAAGCCTTTATATAGGTCAAACTGAACATTGACTGTTAATGGCATATTATTGAACTTTGCTAAAATTTGGCATAATTGTTGTTTTCAATTATGGATGAATTTGTTTCGTGAAAAACACGTAACATAAAACTCTTATGTTTGGTAAAATACTTTGACCTTAAATTTAAATTACCTTTACCATTTAAGGGAAATTGTTGATGTTTTCTTAAACTGATCGTTATTGTGTAATTAACAAACTGAATTAATTCAAACTTAGATAAACAACTTTTAGTATTTATCCTCATGTTGAGGGACCCAAGCTTGACCTTGACCGTAAAACACCATTGACCTGATAGGATCTTTTTAAAAACTGACTAAAACTTTGAATATTAGACATAACAACCCTTTTCAATAACTTAAAGTAGGTCAAACTGAATTTGTCCAAATATAATTATAATTCAGCCCCATTTACATGCTGAAGAAGAGTGCCTTCACTATACTTAATGTTGGACCGCTGACGTGATACTAACAGTATTCTAAGATCAGCTAATACTTATACATGTATAAATGAAGAAGGAATACATTTATGTAAGGTATAATACATGTTTACGTAATTTGTTAAGTAAGTTTGAAGATAAGAATTATTGTAAAATTATCACAATCAAGTAAAATACTTTCTATTTTATTGTTGTTATCATACTTGTGTTGGTTCTATAGAGTCTGAAACATTTGGATAAGTCATAACAAATGCTTTAGATAAAAATTGTTTTTTGCATTGCAAATAACATTACCATTATTGTAACAACAACCTTTCTGATTGATTGTGAAGTTATTTTATTGCAAATTTAAGCAATATGCAGTAAATATTTCGTGTGTTTCTCTCTTGAATAAACAAAAGCCTTATCATATCTTTTTGTCAGTAATTTATTGAATATAAAACATGTCTATCATGATATGAGTGTGGAATGTTCTAGTTATATGATTGTAAATTCTATGATAACCAACATTTCGCTGATTGTGTGAACGCGATTATTGGTAAATATTACCGGACAACTAAAGTTTGACATTGACCTTTAAATCACATGTCAAGTTATATACCTGAAATTGGCCATAACATTGTTATTCTTGGATATTTTGTATTCGTTATTGAGCATAACAACTTTTTTTGTAAATACTCTCAAGTAGGTAAAGTTCTTGACCTTTATCTATTAACTAGCGCAAACGGTTAACTTCAACTATTATTGTTTAACAAGT